ATGTGAGACAAAATAAAAGAGAACATTAACCCCAGAAACCAACAGACAGATGGAATAGTATCAACTGGCAATCTTCCCGAAGTCCATTGCCAAAAGAACAGTCAATGGGAACTGAAGATTCCATGGCATTGGATGTGTTTAAAGACAAGTATATAATGGCATGTATTTTTTTTAAAAAAGAACCCAATTCAAATAAATGTCTTTGCAGAAAGTTAAAAAGAACCTGTGCAATTTAAAAATAAAATCAAGATTCTGGTCTGCTTCCACACAGACTCGTTAAAACTTCACAAAGTACAGTACAGTACTAAAGCATTTTTAACATAAGAGGACAATTAGAGTCATTGACTCACTCAATGCCAAAGAACATCTCAATTCCCTGTGTGTAAAACCCAGGAATATCTTCTATGTCGAGGCTTCACAATGAAGATGAGAATCTCAAATAGCATGGGATGGACTGTGTAGAGCTAGATGGCAGAGGAACAGTTAGGCGCCCTTCCAGGAACACAGAAATATAAAGCACATCTCAATACTGCAAACCCTCGCTCCTCAGACCCTTCATTTTGGTCAGTGTAGCTTCATAAGCGTCCAGTGAGAGGAGGCTGCACTAGCAAAGGAGCAGAACGACACCAAGGAATCATGGGTGTCCCCAGGAAGCCTGCCACAGGTGTGGGAGAAAGAGCTTCAAAACCTAACCAAATAATATTGTAATATATCTACCCCAGAGGGCAAATTTAAGAGGCAGAGCAAGTACAAATGTGATTTCTGCATTCATAGTGTTTGTCTATGAATGAGATCATAGTGAACGTGACACGAGCAAGAATTCGCAGGATGTTGGACTGAGAATATGATGAGAAGGCTGAAGGATGAGAAGATAAGAACTACCTACATAGCAGACTAGCAAATGTTTACATGTCAAAAATCAGAGCGCTTGCCCTACCAGCTGGCTACAGTGCTTCACAGAGCAAAGCAGAAACCAATCAAGCCAATTCAGGTCATTGGAGATGATCACGGAAGTCCCAGAATCCTGAGCTAAACGGAATGTGTGCTTACTTTGAAGGTTTAATGGGGTTTATCATAGAGTGGTTTATCAGAGAACAAAAAGAAATTAACATTAAAGGATAATTTTAGGCTATTAGGTAAATGAGCAAAGATTATTATATTTAAGAGAAGAGAAGAACATGCTGTTGCCCACAAAATACCTGGTGACCCAGAAGGCTAATAATACAAGAATTATGTGGGCTATCCTTGGTGGAAAGCTACAGAGAACCCTGGACCCAGAAATGGTAAGAAAGTAGGCTTACCTTCTTTGAACTGAGGAGAAAATAGAAAAGGAAATAGGATTATTTTAGGGATAGATGCTAGCGTGGATTTCTTGTGTCGGCCATGCTTGTTGCTGTGCTCCACACAAAGCTTGGGTAAAGCACAGCTGTCAGGATGTAGGAAAGGACGATGCTGATGTGGAGAAGCAGCCACAAGAAAGCACCAAATAGGCCACAGACTAGAAACACCAGTAACAGGCACCGAAAATCTCAGGGGAGACTGAGATCTGGCAGTTTTTATTAACTTTGGTTTTATTGTTGCTGTTTGTTTTTGTTTTGTTCTCTTTCCCCAGACTAGTCGTTGGACAGACTTCATGTATGTGTGCAACAGCATAGAGTTAACTCGAGAGCTGAACCCAGGAACACAGGAGCCAGGAGCAAGAGTAAGTCTCTGCTCTGGGTTGTGCTGTGTTCAGTTTACCCTCCAGCAAGACGACCCAAACAGGCACTGGATAGATGTCCAGAACATCCATCATGGAGAAGTCAGCAAGACTGCGTGGACAGTACATATTTGGGAATTCTTGGGCTTAGGTTACTGAGGAACAGTGCGTGTTGATGAAAAAGAAGACAGAAAAAAACACAGCAATCTGCCCAGTTCAGCTTTATAGATTAGCTACAGAGCTAAAAGGCATTTTGAGAGGCTGAGACCAAACCAGTGAAACAGAAAGAGGCAGGAGTAGAATGTATTGAATCAATCACTCATCAAGGGAGGTGAAGGTTCCCCGGAGCCTGCAGTGAGCACTAAAACTGTTTTTAAAATGAACAAAAGTGTGAAGAAGTCAAAGAGCCAGATCATCTTATAATATTCTCACATATTTCCTACAATGATATTTTAAAGGAGACTGGAATATAGAAGAAACCCAACATATGAGACAAATCTTGCATGGGTATGTGGAGGATTTTCTGAGGATGTGCCCTCCCCTATAGGCTCATATATTTGAACAATTGGTTCCTAGTTGCTGGAACTGTTTGGAAATGATTAGGAGACATGGCCTTGTTGAAGGAAAGGTGTCATTGAACTTGGGTTTAGAGATTTAAAAAGCCTATGCCAGCTTCAGGAAAAATGCTGACTTTCTCCTTCCAACTTGCAGATAAGATGTAAGCACTCAGATAATGCTCCAATGTCATGCCTGCCAGTGTGCTGCTATGTTCCCTACAATTATGGCCATGGATTAAACCTCTGAAACTGTAAACAAGCTCTTTTTATAAGTTGTCTTGGTCATAATGTCTCTTTACAGCAATACAAAAGTAACTAAGATGGTTTTATTGTACACAATGTATATATGTGCATGCCAATAAAACTAAGAAGAATCGTAAATTCTAACTAAAGATGATGGAGTTCTATTTTAAAAGGAATATTACACTGTGTCATAGTGTCTGATGATACTAAATTCCTGGAATGGGAGTGGAAGGTACTCTGGCATTGGTTAACAAAATGTTAAATAATAATGTGAACAATATGTGCTCCTGGGTCTTGGAAAAGCCCTGAAGATCACAAAACTCACTTTGCTCCACATGGGCCATTGGATACACAATTGGTCTTATTTTTCAGCTGGTTTTCAAAAAACCTTCTTTTAACAAATTACTGACATTTAGATCTTCAAATTGCCCATTAAGGCCATCAAACAACATTTTGCTACCAGATAAAACACTAGACAGGCAGGAACCAGGCATTAGATTCCCTTTCATTTTTAACCAGATTCAGGCCATTGGTGAGTTCCAAAGTAAACCAGACATCATAATAACATAATCTCCCTTCTAAACAGCTCCATTCATGGGGCCATAAAAGTAACTTTCTTAATGTCAACTGCATCGCTAACCACATTTAGTTGAGAACAGGCCGTGTGTACAGAACAATCACCAGGGCTTTTTTTTTTTTTTTACATTTCTGAAAACCTAGCAGAGAGGCTTATACTTATACTCCATCTAGGGTAAACTTGTTCATTCAAAGAAATAAACCAACAAGTAAAACACCATCTTGTTTTGCTTGTGATAACATAACTGGAAAGCTTGGGCTGTGTGGTAAGTTTCATGTCAGCATGGACTACAGCAGGATGGATTCCACACCAGAAATTTTAAGTATCAAGTTGTTATAAAAAACTACTCTTTGGAATTTATTTTTAATGCATTGATCTATATTATTGTTGTTGGTGGTGGTTGTAAATCAGCAGCACAACATTTGGGACCATTTCTGAATGGCTATAGATATGCAAATCAGGAATACCAATGGCATAAAACTGAACTGTGAACTTGCTAAGAGTGTGGCTTTCATCGAAGTCCATCCTCTCTCAGTGACAACGCAGTGTGGCGCGAGAGTGGCTCCATTCTTTAGTTAACACTTTTAATCCCTCTGAACCGACTACAGAAATATTTTCAAAGTTCATGTATCAACTGAGCATGGGTATGGATACAGAATTCAGGCTACATTTTCTGATGGAGTGGTTTTGTTAAACTATCACAAATGGCAAAAATCCTTTTATCTCCATGTAATATCTATCAAGTTTAAATCATTCTAAGGTGGTAATCAGCAGAGGGGGAACAAAAGACATAAACCTCCCTTGCCAGGTAGTAAGGTAGAGTGTTATATATGTCAATGTATCCCCCACACTTTCTTCCACACCCTGTTGCTGGAATTTCAGTCCCCTGAAAGCTCTTAGATTCTCAGTGTCTCTGCTACATAGCAGAGCTTATTTATAGTTTTGGGATGTAAATAGTTGGCCACACATGAAAGCTTTTATAGCACGCTTTCAAAAGTCATTTGGTGTGGGAGGTCCTTCTGACTATGTGTTGCTTTTATTGGTTAATGAATAAAGAAACTGGCTTGGTCTATAGCATGGGAGGAGGAAGGCAGAGTTAGAGAGAAACGATGGAGCCACTGGAGACAGATGCTGTGAACTCTACCGGGTAAGCCACAGCCATGTGGTGATATACAGATTAATAGAAATGGCTTAAATTAATATAAGAGTTAGCCGATAAGAAGCTAAAGCTAATGGGCCAAGCAGTGACTTTAATTAACACAGTTTCTGTGTGATTATTTTGAGTCTAAGCTAGCTGGGCAGCAACCAACAAGCGACCCTTCCCCCAACAGTCATTGAATGTCTGAGATGTGTAACAGTTTCTTTCATGAGACACAAAACACAAGCTGGTAAAAGTTGATTCAAGCTAAGGAATTTAGTCTATCACAGAACTAACCCTGCCTACTGGTGTAAATGAGCTCAGGATGTCACTGAGAGGATGAAACACACATACACATGACCAAAAATCAGAACTGCAAAAAGCATATTGTTTTCCAATATTATTCAAAATAAGAACTAAGGCAAATGATAAATTAATGAGATTTACTATAAAGTGTCCCAAAGAGATATTTAATGATTTCAAAATAATTTGCTACAAATTACAAATTACATGCACAATTATTTATGTGCATATATATAATCTATTCTAAAAATCACAACAATAATTAAATAAATGGATCATTATATATGTGGAAATTGTACATAAATATTTAATTTCAGTTGAATATATGTTGACTTTGTATAAACACTAAACATAGAGTTCAAGTTTAATTATGTTTATTATCATGAAATTTGCTTGATTATTATTTTAAATAGCCTCGAGAAAAGCACATTTATCGAAACCACAAAGAAAAATAATCTAACAATGGGAAAATGACTTATTTACCTGGATCTTCTATAGTTAAGTTCTTTATTAACCACTGAACAATGTCTGACCCTAGAAAAAGAAAAAGACAAATAGATGAGAACCTTTTGTTTACAGATGGTACCATTAAGAACTTTCCACATAGAGTTCTCATTTCAGTAAACCATTATAATAAGCAGTGAAGGATCATCCACAGGAAAAGTACCAAAAACACCAGTGTGAATTCATTTCTCTAATGAGCATATGTGCAAGATGGCAAATTATTAAATATGATTTATTACACTGATCATGTTTTTATTGATTTTAATGCTTTAGTCATTAAATTTATTAAATATCATGTTTCAGGCACAAATCTTACCATGGCATCATACAACTTTCCAGGAGGGGCCCCTCTTCATTTCAGATTGTCCTTACAGTTATATCAAGCCAAATCAATGTTGTCTTTGGGTCATTAATATGCCTGGAGACTTTAGGCTCCCATGACTTCATATAGTGTTATTCTTTGGGATTGCATGCACGGTCCTTGTTTACAAGAGCCTCAAGACTCATGGACACAAGAGAACTTCTTTGGCCTTCACGTTTGTCTTCTCAGGGACAGCAGCCACCTCAGCCCTTCCCTGAAATGACTGGGATCTTTTATTGGAGTAGAGAAAGGACCACACCACCTCACAGCTATGTGAGCAAGTCCTTAAAGGATTTCCTCAAAGCAGGCTCTCAAGTTCATCTCTGACTATTTGAAACAGACCCTGCTTACAATGAACTATTCATACTAACTAAATAAAGCAGGCTTCCACCTCCTAACATGAAACAAGGAAGTCTATGCTAGATCTAAAGACTGCATTTGATTTATGGAAGGGAGAGAAATGTAGTTGCTACAGGGACCTAACATATTAAACAATTGAAAGCAGTAGAATCTCTTTATTGTTCTCTGTTTGTATCTTGAGTGCTAGGGAAAGGAATCTGAAAGTCAGAGAAAGATGTGAGCATTTGACAGATCTAGAATTCTAGGCTAAAAAGAATTAGGATTGTTTTCCTTATAAATACAGCACATGTTTTTCAGCAGACAAATAATACAATGAAAGTGCTTTCATGGGATTTAGCTAGAATTTCCCCTAGAATGCTAGGGTAGCACCAAAGGAGCAAGGCATGCTGATTCATGTCCACAATTCCAGTGCTCTGGAGGATGAAGGGGTGAGATTGAGGCTGTTCTGGACTCATAGTGGCACCCAGGCTAGTCTGGGACACAGAGGTAGGACAGCAGGGTTAGGAGTGAAGAGAATAAAATCCTGAAAGCCTTAGAGACCAGGGTTACAAAATTAGCACCTGAGAAAATCTATTGACAAAGAGGAAACTCCCCCGTCAAGGCCAGTTAGAACTAGGTAGAGCCTGTGGCCCAGGTACATAGCACTTCACCAAGCCTCAAGGTAACTCAGAATTCATTCTAATACTGAAACCCATTGCCCCTGGTAGAAAAGTAAGATGTTAATAAGACTAGAAATGAGCAAAGGTGTATGTGGAACTGTATATAACACACAGATATGATTGACAAAGTCCACATTATAAGGAAAAGGCAAAAAGTCCACAGGGAGGTGAGTAGATGGCTCAGTGGGCAAGCAGGAGGATCTGACTTTGGTCTGACTCACGGTAAAGTCGGGTGCGGCAGTATGTCCCAACAATTCCAGCAAGAGGAGATGGAGCAGGCCGATCTAAGGGCTTACTGGCTAGTCAACATTACTGAAATATAAATTTCAGACTCAACAACTTCTTCTACAAAACAACCGGACAATGTGTGATAAAGGGCGACCCCTGATGTCAACCCGCGGCTTTTACACAGGCATACACAGGCAAGTCCACATCCATATACATGTCTATACAAACATGCCACACACATATGAGCCCACACAATGTGACATAAAAGCCCCGTCGCTTGTGTAGCCTTTGCCATTCCAGCGTCTAAACTTGCCCACTATTCCGGTTCATTTTCTCCCTTGGAAATTTATCCTTTTTGAAGCCCAGGTACAGATACATTCAGCAGAGAATTATGCCAGATCTCCAGAGAAAAACTAATGCCAATTCTCCTCATGTTATTCTGTGAAATAGAAAGGGAACAACTCCAAATTCTTTTTACTAAGCCAATATTACCCTGATACTAAAACGCGACAGAAAACCAACAAAAAAGAGAAAAACTATAGGCCAAACTCTTGGGCGAAGAAAGACTCAGAATTTCTCCCCAAAATATTTCTAAACTGAACCCTAGAACACCACCTACCATCCACCATGATCAAGGCAGTTTCATCTCAAAGATGCAGGGATATTTCAACACAAGTAAATCATGAAACACAATCCACCACAAAAACGAACTGGATAGAAACCACATGATCATTTATCTCATTAGCTCCAAAGAAGAGCTTGGACAAAAATCCAACAATTCTAGATGATAAAATTCCTGGAGAATATAAGGATACAGGGTGCGTATCTCAATTTAATAAAGGTAGTATGTAACAGTCCTACAGATAAGGTCATGCTAAGTAGAGAAAAACTTAAGTCAAAAGAATATCCTGGTCCTAATCAGAGAAGCCTCCCTTCTAGTGAAGAGTGGTGGATGTCCTCATGACAGACCGAAACACAGTAAACACGTGACAGATGTGGGTCCAGCACCACGTGAATCACTTATACCACCCCCCTAAAGCTCATGGAAGATTGCAGAGGTGGGAACAGGAGGTGCGTAAAAGCTATAAGATAAGGTAAAAAGTGAAGTGATGCCATTGCTTAGATGTGATACAGCTGTTGTGATCATTAACTGATATCACCTGTAGGTACCAGCATTGGACCCACAAAGTAGCGAGAGGCAGTCAAGGCAGGGCAAGGGGCTCACTGGCCTTCACTGTTTGCCTCCATAACAAAGTAGAGTTCCTAGCTCCTGGGTTTACATCTGTGAAACCAAACCCAGCCAGCAGTTTGAGGATGCAACTGTGCTTCCCTAGTTTCTGACTCTCAGCTTGGGGTGGGGGGTACCTTTCTTCTTCAATGTAAAATAGGGCAGAAAGCTGAGATCATAGAGCATAAATATTGCTGTATAGGTTGATTAAAGAACATCTGAGAAAGAGAGGGTTTTGACAGACAAAACAAAGGGGGGAAACGGCAGCTTCCTCCAAGCTTCCTCTGTTACATTTCCATCAGAAGAAAGAAGTGGAGCTTGGAGGCAGATTTTTTAATAAAATGAATATGTATTTCTGCCTCATGAATACAAATGGGCTATGCACTGTGGGATTACTGTATTCCTGAAGAGCAGAGTATAAGGATCTTTTGGGTTGGTTTTATGTTATTGCTGGTGTTGCTGTTTTGCCGTGTGAAGAAGCTCACATTTTATGCACACTAAAGTAACTATTTAAAGGAGCCTTATGGTGCATTCATGTGTGATTATGCTTTTATAATTGTATTTTTAAAGTAAAGACTTTATTTTTTATTTACTGGAGAGATGGCTCAGTATGTGAGAATGCTTTCTGCACAGCAATGCAGCTAGGCTCAGATCTCAGCACCTACATACAAAGCGATGGCTGTTACCTACACCTGTAGCCCCAGTGCTGGCAGAGGTGAAGAAGAATGGCTACGGCTTGCTAGTTGCCAGGCAACCTAGCTCCAGGTTCAATTAAGAGTCTGTCTCAAAAGAATAATATGGAGTGGCTGAGGAGGACATTTGACATTTTCCCTTGGTCTCTGGGAAGCATGTTCACAAGCACACAGATACACACACACCACACATACATCACACTCATATATACCTACCAAAAAGACTTTATTCTCTAAAAAAATATCTGGGAAATATTTTTTTCCTAGAATGTTATACACCAGGTACATTTTCAGAGGATTTCATTTTCAGAGTGTTAAAAGTTAACATTTCAATACACTTTGAAACTGGATGTAACTTAGAAGGCAAAGTGCATTTTCCCAATTGTCTATAATTAGTATGAATGAGATATAAAGATCAATTGACACAAAATAATCAAGGAAATATGATTGTCTTAGAATATATGAAATCTATTTTAAATCTTGGCCTATAACAATTAAAGCTATAGACAAATGAAATGATAAAATTCTCAAATAAATAAATGGAACTGGGAAAAATGATACGGAGTGAAGTAAGCCTGGCCCAGAAGAGTACCCTACATGTTGTTGCTCACATTTGAATCTTAGTCAAATCTTTAGATTTGAATGACTAACTTAAGTATCTCATTGTGGGTGGGAAAGCCTTATGAAAGGGGGGCTAGTGGAACACAGGTGATAAGAAGGTAGAGAAGGTGGGTACTGAGGGTGGAACTTCATTTCTTCTTGAGTGCTATAATATTCTCTGTTAGGAATATGAAGGTTAGCATTTGTTGCCTCCTCTTAGAGGAATGACCATTTTACAGTAATTCAATAACCCTCTTTGTGATTTATGCCTTTTCTTGTAGTAAAATCCACTTTGTATGAGATTAACACACCTATTCCATCTTGTCTTTGACGCAACATTACATAATAGCTGTATCCTAAGAGCTGAGAAGACTGTGAGTAAGAAAAGTCACATTTCTATTTTGTTGGGGCCAAGTAGACAATAAGCAATTAAATGCATCAAATCATTCTGATTGCTGTGAAGGAAGGCACATGCTGCTGGTAAAATAAGGTTTGAGTTGCAAATATGAAGAAAAATAATTGAATAAGTTATGTGAATATCTGGGACAGAAGATCCCAGGCTAAGAATAACAAAGCCCAAAGCCCAAAGGCAGAATCCTGATCAGAGTATTAGAACATAGGAATATTGAGAGTAGCACAAACTTGACAAAATTGTAACAGACTCCAAGGACAAAGAGATTATAGAAAGCATGACAAGATGTGTGTAAGACCTTTGCATTTTACTGAGAATGATCTGAGAAAAGGGAATAATTGCTTGCTCGTGAAAACTGTGATATCAAAGATAGATTTTTTTCAGAGTGAACAGTGAGAGAAAACAACATCTATAGTGATGGTAACAATGATGATAAATAATGAGAAAAATATGGACTTGCAATTTCTGGGCTTAAGTGCTGAAAGGGAAA